TATATATGAGAAATATTAAAAAGTAGTGTGGTAAAATTCTACATTAAAATATTTTTAAAACTAAAAAAACTATAAATTTAAAAGAATTAAAAAGGGAAAAATTGCTATCACATGAAATGTAGTGATCATTCAAATACTCAGACTCACTAGTAATATGAAGTTAATATAAAAAATTTCCCTACCTTTGACAATGGATCTATTATTATATAGATTTTGCAGTTAAATTTTCACTAAGACATACTACATTTAAACAACTCAAATGGAAAAAAACTAACTTCTTGTAACTATTAAGATATGCAACAGGCCGGGCGCGGTGGCTCAAGTCTGTAATCCCAGCACTTTGGGAGGCCGAGGCAGATGGATCACGAAGTCAAGAGATCGAGACCATCCTGGTCAACATGGTGACACCCCGTCTCTACTAAAAATACAAAAAAAAATCAGCTGGGCATGGTGGCACGTGCCTATAATCCCAGCTACTCAGGAGGCTGAGGCAGGAGAATTGCCTGAACCCAGGAGACAGGGGTTGCGGCGAGCCGAGATCGCGCCATTGCACTCCAGCCTGGGTAACAAGAGTGAAACTCTGTCACACACACACACACACACACACACAAAAAGATATGCAACATATTTTCACACATTAGTCAAATATATGATCAAATATCTTCATTTCAGAAAACAATTACATCTTCATATATTTATGCCATATCTATTAAAATTCAAATTTCAGATTAAGAATGAAAATTATCAAGCATAAAAATAGCTCAATAAACTCCTTTTTACATACACTTGCTCCTGACAAATATTTTAGTAATGTGATGACTACAACTGAATGTGCCATTAAAGCGAAATGTTTTTAATACTTCTGTAAAAAGGACGAGCTATATAAATGAATTCATCTTTCTAGTATATTATAATATTTCCACCTATCAATATACACTTATTGTTTCCATTTGCTAGCACGTCCCAAAAGAAAGTTTTCATCTTTTTCTTTTTTTTTTTTTTTTTTTTTTTTTTTGAGACGGAGTTTCGCCCCTGTTACCCAGGCTGGAGTGCAATGGCGCGATCTCGGCTCACCGCAACCTCCGCCTCCTGGGCTCAGGCAATTCTCCTGCCTCAGCCTCCTGAGTAGCTGGGATTACAGGCAAGTGCCACCATGCCCAGCTAATTTTTTGCACTTTTAGTAGAGACGGGGTTTCACCATGTTGACCAGGATGGTCTCGATCTCTCGACCTCGTGATCCACCCGCCTCGGCCTCCCAAAGTGCTGGGATTACAGGCTTGAGCCACCGCGCCCGGCTCATCTTTTTCTTAATTGCATTTTAGGTTTTGGGGTACATGTGAAGAACATGCATAGGTACATACATGGCAGTGTGGTTTGCTGCCTTCCTCCCCATCACCTATATCTGGCATTTCTCCCCATGTTATCCCTCCCCAACTCCCACCCACCACTTTCCCTCCCCTGTTTCCCCCACAACAGACCCCAGTGTGTGATGCTCCCCTCCCTGTGTCCATGTGTTCTCTTTGTTCAACACCCGCCTATGAGTGAGAACATGTGGTGTTTGGTTTTCTGTTCCTGGGTCAGTTTGCTGAGAATGATGGTTTCCAGGTTCATCCATGTCCCTACAAAGGACACAAACTCATCGTTTTTGATGGTTGCGTAGTATTCCATGGTGTATATGTAGTTTTCATCTTTTTTACAGGGTTATCATAGGAATTTGGGGGGGTTAGCATATTAAGGGATAATATCAAAATTGAAGCCTTTTGTATTTTCATTTCTTAATGTCTGTTTAAGAGCTGCTGAATTCTCAGGAGTGTTATTCAAAACTCATAACATTAATAACTGTCCTTTGAATTTAAAATTATACCACAAAATGTATATCTGTGTTTATGAGAAAACAACATTTTAGTTAAAAATGTAACACACCTACTTGAATGAACCCAGTATGTTAAAACATTTCCAAAGATTATTTTCATTTTAAACTTTTCTTATATTTAGAAAAGCAACTAGTACAACTGCTGTAATAAAACTACAGAAATTCTAAGAAGAATCCTTTAAGTAACTTTCATTTACCATAACAGATAAACTGTCATTTTACTACTAACCAAAGATGTCCTCTGAGCTTTACAAATAATTGATCTCTTCAATATTTTGAAGAGACAGTAACATTCACATAAAGAAATAATAGTGGGTTCTTTTCCCTTGAGAAATATTACAGTTAATCTAATATTTAAAACTGAATAAAGAGAGGATTCACTATAAACACATTTTTACCTCCAGTCTCATAAAGTCTATAAATGGAATTATCACAGAACTACAACTAGTGTAGTCAAAAATCTCCCAAGCTCTTAAGACCAAAATGAAAAACAATTTCTTAATATAGCAGTTCCCCCTTAAATATTTTTCAACTCACCCAGGGGATGTGTAACACTGTGGATACTACTAAGCACTGTATATACTATGTTTTTCTCTATACAAACATACCAATGATAAATTTTAATTTATAAATTACGTACAGCAAGAGATTAACCACAATAATAATGAAATAGAACAATTAAAATAATATGTTGCACTAAAATTTATGTAAATGTGGTCTCTCTCTGTCACTTCCCACCTCCCCCACTTTTTCTTTCTCTCTTTCAAAATTATCTTAATATTTTTAGACTGCAGTTGTCTGTGAGTAACAAAAACTATGGATAATGGGGGACTATTGTAATATAAAGATTATTAGATAACAGAGCTATAATAATCATCAAAGACAAAGTCATCTTTACTTTGGACATCAATATATAAATAGTTTGTAAAACATTTAGGATTTTACATCTAAAGAAATTTAGTAAAATTAAATTTGAGAAACTCCTCAAAATATTTTTTAACATGACATATGTTAGATAGCATGACATCAACTCTCAAGACAGATTTTCTTTTTCAGAAGAGGTAGCAAATTAAATACAAACACTATTACACACTTTAATAGAAAGATGCACTACCTGGATGAGTTTTGGAAAGAAGGGCATTATATTAAAGGCATTTCCAGAGGACATAGTAATATTTATAATACAGATCAAAACTGGCAAGGTGATCCTAGTCTAGCTCCCCTCTACTATTTCTTCTTATCCTTTCCACATTTGTCACATATATTGAAAGATTTTGACTTCTAAAAGATAAATTTATATTAACATTTTAAAAATTAAAATAGTATCAGCTCGTCAGAGCACCTGATTAGTATGTAATAAAAAGTATTACTACAGTGAGATAACATAGTAATCAAAATCAATTTGTCATTTTGAGAAGAAGAAAATTTTATAGATAAACTATACATATTAGTTTTAACAAATATTAAATATTGTTTCTAAACTTTAGCTACTACATGTAAACATTTTTAGGGCTCTAAAGACTAGACCACAATGGGGAATTAGCTCTAGAGTACCAATCCTTCTTTCGAGAGGTAAGGAAATTCAACTAGACCACTTAACTTATATTCACGTGCCAGTTAATGGCAGAGTTACAAATTGTATTTTCACAATGCTATATTTACATAGCTGCATTTTACAAATTTTAGAGATCAGATATTTAAACAGTGCTCCTCATGGTGCAGTGGGAACAGAGGCTCCCTGATTGATTCAGCACTCTCTTCTGATGATTCAGGACATACATTTTCACTTGCTCTATTCTATTATGAAAGGAAGGCCTTCGCACACTATCTGCCTCTAATTATGATTTTTCCTTCCTGAATCTAGAATTTTACTGTAATTCATCATTTAACATGTCTAGAAGATTGTTTACCTCTGCAGAGAATTCCACTTCTTGACAAATATTTATATATTTATATTTAATACACTCTTTTTCAATTGGATTACTTTTTATCATGCAGACATTCCAAGTAAACCCTTACTGATGTTGCACTAGCCATATAGAGAAAATCGGAGAGGCATAGAGTATTAAGGTGAATGATTTATTTGAAGGTATGGAGGGACTCCAGTTTGCAAATATATTATAGATAGCTACTGATCTTTCATGGGTGCTTAAAAATAGATTAAGAAGAACTTATGTCATTTACTAATTCTACAGCTTAGAACACTCCGGATTTTTTTAAGTGTCTTTGAATGTTGTTGTTGTTGTTGTTGTTGTTTTTTGGAAAAAAAAAAGAAGGAAAGCAATTATACTGTTGTTTTATATTGTTACAAAAAACACCCATATAGAAATGTATGGAGAAATGCAATAGATATAAAATACAAATATTAATACTAATACTAACACAGTATAATAACAGAATACTGATAAAAACAGAAACCATCTTTTTGAATATATGAGGTATAGAATAACAAATCTACTGCATACTTTTGCTCCTCAGGTGATTTTGTTTCTTTGTTCCTTTCAATTAATGAATATACACAATTTATATAATCAGTTGTTATTTTGTAAGAATGTTATTGTTTTCATCAACTTTAGGATTATAAGAAAAATAAATGATTAATTCTAATACAGAAATTTATCCAAGTGATGTGCTCTTTAAACATACTTGGATTCTTAGATAATCAAAAATTGGAAAAGATTTAATTACCAAAAAAGGAATGTTGTAATAAATTTCTATGGGATAAAATCTTTTTCTAATGCCAAAAATAATGATCACTCACAATTTTAAATTTCAACAAAGACACATATGAAAAATAAATTATACCTTTTAGCATAACTAAATGCCTAAGTTAAATATATTACAAAATTATTTAAACAACAGGATTGATAACTGTATTCACTATAAAGTCTAATACCATTTTTAAAAACTGTTTGCAACTAGCCAATACTTTTACAGATAACAACTTAAAATTCCAGTCATAAAATTTGCTCTAAAGCTTAACAAATACTAGAGGGACTTTAGAATATTAGTATGTAAAAATGATTTTAAATTCTGTATTCTAAGAGAGCATATTCATTAACAGACAATAGAGATTAATATATTTGCTTAAATCTTTAAACAAAAGATTAAATAATATTACTGATACCTCTCTCCGTCGAGAAGCCCAACAAGTTTGTTTGATCTTCCATACCACAGCAGCCACCAGTAATAACGATAGGAAACAACTGGAAAATAAAACACAAATAATTTTTGCTTAAAACTTATTTGAACTACGTAATAAAAAAGTAGTACATGAAAGACTCAAAAATATATGTAAGTAATCTCTTTGTCTAGGTAAACAATCAAAAATAGGATAAATTTCCGATGTTTAAAATGTTCTCTCAAGTAAAATCAAAATGTACAGGTAGAAAAAAATATTAATAGTTCTTGCTATAGATTATGGTCTATATTTAGAATTTTATCTGTCAGAGGAATGTAAATTGATAATTCCATTGGTCTTATGAAGCAACAGAAATCACAACCAAAATCTATTTAGAATTGCTATTATGAGTCATAAAATCTGGAAATTTTTAAAATCCAATGTCACACATATACATTTACTTTATTTTTATCACTATTTTATATATGAACATATTCCAGTAGTTCCCAACCAAAGGTTATTTTGCACCCTCCCCCTACAGATCATTTGGCAATGTCTAGAGACATTTTTGATTATCACAACTGGGAGAGGAGTGCAGGGGTGTTAAAGAATTCTATAACACACAAGACTGTCCCCAACAGCAAAGAATCAGCAATTCACAATGTCAATAGTACTGAGGCTGAGAAATCTTGGCATATGCTAATGTTTACATTAAGAAATAAGTCAGTTACAATGTTCATACATGTGGTCTAATATATTAGGTACTATATGCAATAAACTATGATAATGCAGTGAACTTTGTTAGAAGTAACTCAAGTCTGACAAATCTCAAAAGGACAGAGATTTATATGAATCTCATTAATCAATCTCAAAGCTGTATTTTCCCTTTCTTTGCTCTGTGGTTATAGATTATGCAATGAGAAGACCCAGAAATGAACAGACCCTTGACACTACAAATTCAATGGTCACTGGACACTACAAAAAAACCTGGTACTCATCCTTAATTGATAATCATTGCACTCATCACTTGAGTTATTCATAAGCAGTGGCAATTTTTGACACTTTCCACTCTTGTCAAGTCTTCAATATATTTTTTCTCCCTGCCTATGCCTCATCTGAAGCAGAAGACCTTAGAATATCTTTCAATTACAATGACTACGACAATGTCAATTTTAACATCTATCCATTTAGTGCTGCACACATTTCAGATGCTATGCTAGATATGCCACATTGATGATTGGATTTAGTCTTAGAAATGCTTCAATATAGTACATATGATTCTTATTTGAGAAAAGAGGAATCCAATCCTCAGAGATTTTGAAGTTTCCTTATAGTCATACATGGAGTATTGTAGCACCAAACCTTTTCCTCTCCTATGCTGGCAGCTCTGACTATCTCATAACCATTGTTTCCATATTCATTCTCTAATCCCGCTTCCAGAATCAAAGGAAATCTATTTCGTAAAAGTCAGTGATACTAAGCTTTCCAACCACAGAGGTGATTTGTTTTTTACATAGGTACCCTTTATGTAATATTCAGCATTTTAGGGGATACTTTTCTCAGAATTTGTTTTCAACAGAAGGTCACCATGATTTTCAAGAAATTAAATAAACTGGTGTTTTTTCTCTATTATCAGACTTGAACTTCTCAATTGACTAAAACTCTTTCCTGAGTAGTTTCTTTCATTTTGTTTTGTTTTATTTTCCTTTATACTTCCTAAACTAATATAGGTTCAATGAATGTAGATTACATTCCAGATTCCCTCTTTTAAATTATGCACATTCCTTAAAATTCACTTCATGAAACTGTGTTCTTCTTTTCTCTTGCTTTCAAAGAGAAAGCTCAGTTATTTTCATGGTTTGAACTATGACCTCAATTGGAATGATTTCAAAATCTGCATCTTTACATCTGTCAAAATGAGAACATCTTATCTTTAAAAGGGATATAAAAGACTTCTTAGTTCAAAGTCCCTCCCAGGAAGGAAATTCCCAGTATAGCTCTGATAGTGATCCAGCACCTAATTAAATACTCACTGTAGCTGAGAAGTTGCTGACTCACAAGTTAGTACATTGTTTTTCTAGTTAATTCAAATTTTGAAAATATTAGAACTTTTTTTTTTCAGATGGAGTCTCACTCTGACACCAGGCTGAAGTGTAGTGGCACAATCTTGGCTCACTGCAATCTCTGCCTCCCAGGTTCAAGAGATTCTCACACCTCTGTCTCCTGAGTAGCTGGGACTATAGGTGCATACTACCAACCCGGCTAATTTTTTTAGTATTTTTGGTAGAAAAGGGGTTTCACTTTGTTGGCCAGTCTGGTGTCCAACTCTTGACCTCAGGTAATCAATCCGCTGGCCTCAGCCTCCCAAAGTGTTGAGATTACAGGTGTGAGCCACCATGCCCAGCCAATACTCTAACTTTTATCAATCAGTGCTGTGTCTGCCTTCTATGTTAAACAAAACCAGCCTGCTGTACGCTAAAACTTGTTCATATATTTAAAGAATATATAGATTTTCTTGTATGTAGGATTGCCTCAAGTTCAGTGTTTCTCAACCAGGAACACTTTTGTTCTCCAGGCGATATCTGGCAGGGTCTAGAGACATTTTGGGGTTTCACCAAATATATTTACTTATATTCAGTAAATACAACTTAAATACCAAAATGTATTTTTATTTGATTAATAATTTACAACATTCCTCTTCCCTAAGAATCACATAATAAAGATTCAGTTTGATACAGGGAATATTAGTTGAATTTCTCATGAGGAGCTTAAATTCTTTACAATTCAAAAGAGTATTGTTTTTGTAATGATGTAAAAGGACAGCATAAAATATAAAGTTTTCATAATTTCAGTTTCTTGAAACAAGGAGTTACACTTTAGAGGTTTGTATCAGATTCTTTCTATGCTAATTCCTATTAGGTTAGCAGTAAAAGAGCTAACATGCTATAAAAAAATTGGCTGCTAAAATCAATAAACAGTGTAAGAAAATATTTTAAAAGTAATATTCTCATAATCTCAATAAATAGCAAAACTCCAGTAAAATATATCTTACTACATGGCATGGAGTAGTTGTCAATATATTTTTGATAAATAAATGAAATTGGTTTTTAAACTGGTTTGAATAACATCATTTTTTCTAACATTGAATGTCTCATTTGGCATTATTATTATTATATAGAGTAATACCTTATAAATGTTCTTTATTTCTAATAAATTACATTGCAAACAAAAGTTACAGTTCTCTTAAAAAATATACATACAAACAAAACCCAGTTCATTAAGAATACTTGCTTCATTAAAAAGAAAGGCAAACAAACAATAAAGATTTGTTATATTTATTCAGCACAGTTAAAAAGTTACATTCTTCCTTTGGTGACTACTAGAAAGTCTCAGGCTTTACTGACAATCTGGGAAGCCTGAAGATGACAGAATTTCCATCATCTGAATTTCTTGAATGACCATGTGAAGCAGTGTCCTGTATTCCATGCTACTGCTTCTGAAATAGTTTGGATATTTGTCCCCACTCAATTCAGGTTGAATTGTAATCCCCAGTCTTGATGGTGGGGCCTGGTGTGAGGTATTTGGGTCACAGGAACATCCTTCATGGTTTGATGCTGTCTTCAAAACAGTGAGTGAGTTCTCATAAGATCTGCTCATTTAAAAATGTGTGACATTTCTCCTCCCCCAACTCTCTTGCTTGCTCCTGCTTTCGCCATGTGACATGTCTGTCCCCCCTTCACCTTCTACCATGATTGTAAACTTCCTCAGGCTGCTCTAGAAGTTGAGCAGATGCCGTTTCTTCCTGTAAAGCCTGAAAAACCGTGTGACAGTTAATCTCTTTTCTTTATAATTTATTCAGACTCAGATTTCATTTTTTTTCTCACAGCATTGCAAGAACAGCCTAATAAACCTTCCACTGGCTTCTTTTTTGCCTACTGGACTTGATGTGACAGAGAAGTATTATAAACTTTTATTATATTAAGAGACAGATTTCTAGGTTTGTATATTCTAGTTAGCTTTTCTCTATCTCTTAAATCAAAGGGGTTAATGGGTAACATTGAACATTAGCATCTTTTAAGTTGGTATTGTGACGTTTGTCAGAGAAAAATAAGCTTTCTTTAAGGTCTTTTTCTATTATATTATGCAGAACCTTTTATGCTCCATGGTATAGATATTGAGGGGGAGATAATTGGGCTTTCTTTTTTTAAAAAAATATGATGTACGACAATAATATCAAAAGATCTGAAAGGTTCAATACCTCTCAGTACAATCCTTCCAATGGAAATAAGGAGTAAAAAGAACAAAGAAAGAAAGAAAGAAAGAAAGAAAGAAAGAAAGAAAGAAAGAAAACACGCATTAAAAAGCAAGTACATCAGCTACAGGAATAAAAAAGGGAAGCGTAGAAACTTACAGAGAGGTATTTTAATAATTTGATTTTATCCTTCATAAAATGGTCATTTTGAAAATATTCTTAATATAAAAAAGCATGGAATGTATTAGGTAATCTCATTTAGGGAAAATTAAAAGAATTCAATAGAAGCAACACAGTGTGCTATAAGGTTACATTGTAATGCAGGTTGCTAGTAACAAATAAATACCCAGTGGTGGTAATCTAGTTGGCCAATTGCAAAAGAGATATAGCAATTTGAGGATAAGTGATCATAAACGTCAAGTCTTAAGTACATATTTTAAAAGATGGTTTGGGCATGTTATTTTATTTCACTGAAAAATGTTAGAAACTAGGAAACTGTATTGAAATGAAGAAATTTACCTCCTAATAACTGTTATTCCACAAAATATCTTTCAATTGTTTTATACCTTCACAACATTTAAAGGATTTTTTCTTACCAACTAAAATGTCAACAGAATAAACTTCTAACTGAAAATGCAATAAAAGCTATGAATATTAAAAAGAAAAAAACTGCTTATATGTTTAAGTCATCAGATTGAAAAAGATGAAAAATCAAAAAAGCCCACTGGCTGAACATAGTAAATAATATGCTCTTAGCATAAATTGGTACTTCTGAGGGTTGCTAAGCAAGAGTTATTGTACCTTAGAAGCACTATCAGTTAAGATTAGTTCAA